TACCCCACTGGACAGAGCCCATATTGGCCTATCAGGCACAGCCCTCCATTACACAACACCTGTCCCCCTCCTCCAGAGCAGATGGAAACATTAAATGCACCCTGTTCTGTCACCAGCAGGAGCCACATGACTCATTTTGGAAGAGCACAGTGAATTGGCTTGCCTGTATTGTTCCTAAGTGGCTTGGTGCTTGGACCTCCCTAGAGACTTGGGAGAAATAATGCAATTTCCTTAGCTCTATGGAATAGTGAAGCCTCCAGCTATTAAGGCCACTGCAAAAATACGTTTAAACCTCAAATGTGTGATACATTTTTTGATATTGTTTTCTTGGACTATTGGGGAGTCACTCTATTGCCCATTCCCAGTTTAAGAGGGATCCACGGTTCCTGTTTCAGGGATTAACTTAACTATGGCATAAGTGTCAGCGTCAAATTAATGCAAGCATTATGTAATGCTCAGCGATTGTAAGAGGAGCAGTTTTGTTTTTTCATTTCCAGTAAGGAGAAATTTCCTAATGTGGTGAGATGAGTCTTAATGTCTGTGGGATCTATAGTTCACATCATTAGTGTTTTCTTATGACAGAAGCCATTTTTGCATATATAGGTTCTTCATTATTTACATATTGTCAAATGAAACACTATATAATGCACATGGCATGGCAACACATGTAACAAGATATGCATGGAACTCTCAGCTTGGGGGTTGGCCCACAAAGGTACCCTGTAGCTGCTGGAGTATTTTTCTGCGGTGAACAAGGGCTCCTCCTATGGCTGGGAGATCATCAGAGCAGCCTGCTCCTCAGTTCCCACAGACCTTGGACTCACTCAGCAAACTTAAAAAGAGATAGCCCACATAGAGATAGAAGAACAGAGAGACCAACCAGGGAACAAAGATTAACAAAGCAGAAGCCATTACCATGTCTGGGCCACAGGGAGACTGAAAGGTGATAACTTCCCCCAGGAGATGGACGCTCATCACAGGGCCATGGCTGGTCAGCTGGGCAGGATTTGGAGCCACAGAGGACTCATAGATGTCCCCAGAAATGCTGTCATCTGTGCCAATGGAGACAAACACTCTGTGTTTTGCTCATTTTCTTCTACTTCTTTCCTCCCACCAACGCCCAGTACAACTAGAAGTTGAGTCAACACAAGAGTCTGAGTTTTAGGGGTGCCTCCCCACTATACACACACACATACACACACACACACACACACACACACACACACACACACACACAGAGAGAGAGAGAGAGAGAGAGAGA